TACCTTTCTTAACTTTGAAGTTATTTTTTTGTGTGTGTGTGATACCAACCCTGGTAAAATCTCCAATCTACATCCCACAACTTTTTCTCTCCTATGCTTTGCTTCTGCCTCAAGGGCAATTCCCAGAATTGAGCCAGCTCATTCATACCCTGGCACTGGTCCATGACCAGCACTGCTGCCTCTGCCCAGCAGAGTTCCTCCTCCATTCAGCTCTTGACTGACTCCTTTTTACCCTTCAAAGACCTTCTCCCAACTTAACCTCCTGCTAGCCTCTTGTCCTTCATAGATCTTACCAGAAAGTACAAGCATACTACAATTGTTTGATGACTGTCTCCCTTAGTAGATCATAAATTCCACAAGGGCATTGTTCCATAGTGCACCCAGGGCCTGGCATGCAGCAGAGTTCAGATAATAACTGTTGGATGAGGGTATGGCTGAACTAATGAATCAAAGCACTGTCCTAACCCAAAGAGGAAACAACTGGTGAGGTGAGAACTACAGGCCCTGGAACATGCTAGTGGTAGAAAGAAATTGATTTCAACAGGCAACATTTCTCTCTCATCTCTAACTACAGTGCTCACTTGTGCTCTTAAAACACAGATACATATGTCAGCAGCAGAAAACATTGTCATTCCAAAATGTACCAGCTTTGATTTTGACTTACAAGTATTTAACACTGCAGCTTTGATGCACTATGAAATCTTCCTTTATGTAAACCATTTTACTCTGCAGCTGAGCAAACAGGTTGGCAAGAGCAGTGCTTAGAATGTGGAGCACAATAGTATAGACATGAGACATAGTAAACCTGCTTATTTCCAGAATCTTTGGCAGAACAAGGATTAGAATCTAATTTTTGTCAATGTCATAGTCCATTTCCTAATGCTGTAGTAAAATACTACAGACCAAGTACTTTATAGATCAGAAAGGTTCATTTGGCTCATAGTTCTGGAGGATGGAAAGTCCAAGAGCATTGCACTGGAATCTAATCAGCATCTGGGGAGGGCTCTGTGCTGCCTCATAACACAGCAGAGGACATTACATGACAAGTCAGAGCAAGCTAGCCAGAAAGAGCTCACTTTCATAACAAACCACTCCAAGATAACCCATTCATCTATTACTCTGTGAATAGGTTCCTCCATTCACGAAGACAGCACCCTCATGTCTCTATCTCTAACACTGCCCCAAATCTAATTCCAACAAATTCTGGAGGGAACGAAACCATAGAAATGCTTAAGTCACTTTGCCCCTCTGGGTCTCAGTTTCTTCCTCTATGGATAGATTTAGTCTTTTTCTCTACTTCACTAATGAGTAGACATTGAATATAAATGCAATTTTTTTGACATTTGTAATGCCCATTCCTCCAAAAAAGTGAGTATAGACAATTAATACAAATAAAAATTTTGGGGGAGGCTGGGGATTTAGCTCAGTGGTGCCGCCACCCATCTTGCAAGCTCAAGGTCCTGAGTTTTGATCCCCAGTACCAAAAACAAAACAAAACAAAACAAAACAAAACAAAGACAAGTAAAATTTTTTTTTGCTTTTGTAATGTTATTGGTTTTAAAATATTCTCCAACAATATTCATGTTTATGTATTTACAAAATTATCTGTGAACTTTTCTTTAAACATTTGGCTTATAGAGGACACAAACTTTTGGGAATTAAAAAAGAAAAGGCATCAAAGCCTTTTTTTTTTTTTTTTTTTTTTGTAGTCCAGGTTGATGCTGGTAGGTGTACAATTTCCTTCCATGTTCTTTGTCTCCTCTGAAGAATGGATGGGGGAGCTGGTTAGACGGCCCTCAAGTCTAACACTGGACTCAGCTTTAAAATATGCTTTCTCATCTGTCTTCCCTACAACATCAGTGAAAGGCTGAACATTCATCTAACCCTCTGTGTCTTCAAGACATCCCATGTGCAATGTAAAGAGTACCTGGGTCTAAGCATGTTTCAAGGAATCTGGCAGAGGCTGTTACAATTTATGGCAGTTGCCACACCAGTTCCACAGAACTGTCTGACCTCTGGGAAGCACTTAGACGTGGAGTCATTAGCAATTGGTGACACCTCTCTTGCAGAGATCCACGGAAGGCTTTTAGAGTGAAATGCTGACTCACGGTGTTCTTTGTCTCCCAAAGACAGAGTTGAGATTACTTCTGGAACAGTGGCTCCTCTGAGCACACAATCCAATCTGATTTGATCTGTAGCCAATGAGGAAAATAAAGGCAAATGTGCTGGTATATTTGTGTGTCTGAAGGAACATCCTATTTTCTTTGCTCTTAAAGAACATCCTTTCTAATTTTTGGTGTTAAATTATTGTTTTTAAAACATCTATAAAATGTACTCACCCAAACATTCCAAAGTCTGCTTGGAAACCCTGAGCTGAAGGACAATCCTGTTGTTTCTAGATCTTGTATGACCTGGTTTTGTCAGTCAATGATTAACTGACTTTGGCTAGCAGAGATAACGCTAAGCTTTGGAAATTTACCCAGCTTCTTGGAAATGGAAGGACATTGTATTTGCTAAGGACATATATACATATGTCGGGAGCTGTTTGGGGCCTCCCTGTATACTGTTGCATTAAATCCTTGTAGGGACTCTATGGAATTAGAAGTACTATTCTCATTAAAAATTGGAGAAATATGAAGCTCAGCAAAGACAAGTAGCTTGATCAGGGTCCCCACTGGCTAACCAGCAATGTCCAAATTTGAACTCAGTTGTCTGAGCTCAATGTCCACAGTCTTTAACTTCACTAGCTGATTTTCAAAATAAAACTATGAGACACATATTTCAATCTAGTATATACTTTCTGAAGTCAACTAAAGGCCACTTGGGGGGCTGACATTTTAATCCTATTAGCAACAAAGAAAACACTGGAGGACTTCAGAGGCAACAGGACTTCACTGTTAGGAGAGACAACATTGGACCTAGCAGGACTGGTTAATCCATGACACAGGGCCTCCAGCTGAGTTTGTGAAGGAGTCCAAAAGGATGCCACAGCCAGGGGCCAAGTGAGACCAAGTCCTGAGTCACACTGGGGCCCTGAACACATTTCAGAACTAAGTGCAACACTTCAGGATGGACACTTCTTTGCTAGCATCTGTCCGTGATTCCCTTGCACCCATAGGAATAACCAGTGCTGATTGCATTAAATGAGAACAACAAAGTCATTTGTCCTACAAGTCTGTAACAGAAATTAATTTTGTATTCAGTGATATATGGGCCAGTGCTTTTTTCTATGTTTTCTCTGTGATTAAATTGTACTAGAATGTAACAAAAAGAGGCTAATGTTCTGAATTGTCAAGTCTTTGTTGTTAAAAAAAATCAGTTCAAGGGAAGGTGTAGTTCAGGCAGCACAGTGAAAAACTCTTAAGCCACCTGTTTGTAAATCTTAGTCTAAAAAGGGTAGGATTCTGATGCTCCTGGCCAAAAGTTCCCAGATATTAAGTCTAGTAAGGGTATCATAAAATCGATGTTTTAATAAATAAACCAGAGTTAGCAATGCGGGCAAAATATCTAAGAAACATACAATGGGAAACCATTCTAAAATTTTACCCACATTTCATTCCAAAAGTATATAATTATTCACTGGCTAGATGGAGGGGGCCTTTTCTTTATTATTTCTCTTTCCACTGATAAAGATGAAGGACAGCCTGTTTTTGACCCTACATTCTGAAAAGAAACAAGCTTCTAAATAATCACTGCTTTTAGGGCTGTCTTAATATAAAATGAGCCAAAGAGAAGAATCTTCAGTTGCAGAAGGTTGTGGGAGTTTGTGTAATGAAGGGTGATAACCAAGGAATACTAATGATCCTGGAGAGAATGGCTTTGTGAATACCCCCACAATGACAGGTGACAGGCTCTGTCAGCATGAAGGCCATAAATCCGGATAGACCAGTCACACTAATTCAGAAGTCCTTTAGAGTTTCCAATAAGTTCTATTTTTCTTGAGTATCTTTCAAATGCGGCCAGAAAATGCCAACTCTTTGGCTGGCTGTCAGGCTCCTCCAAGGTAACCCACATCATCTGTAGGACTGTCTTCTTGATGTTTCATTGATAGGAAGCCATTCTGGCTGCCCAACGCCTAGGCTGAGCCCATTGTTAAATATACTGAATGTCATTCCTATCTGTGCCATTACCTCTTGAGAAGCTCATCTTTGAAATTATTTTTATGTCCTGGAGGGTAATAAAGAGTGAAGGATATACATAGGATCCCTTGGAAAGTAGAGCAGACAACTGAGGCAAGGTGGCAGGAGAAAGAGCAGGAATGCAGCTAAAAATACTTATTTTGCTTTTAACAGATGGGAAAATTCAGTCAAGAATGACAGTGTTTCTATAGGGAGTCAAGCCTGATAGATGGGTAGTGGCTCCCTGGAGCTGTGAATGAACAATGTCTGAGGTCACAGTCTGAGCAGTAATCATCCACAATGATTGATTACTGATGTCTGCCAAGTCTCAGGAAGGGGTGTGGTTGCACACTTGCTAGTCCTACTCTAGCCAACATGAGGCTACATTGTGAACTCTGGCCTTTTACTGATCTCACTTTTCAGAAACACACACCAGTCATGTCCTTCTTCTCATGAATATATACATGGCTATCTGCAAGCTGCTCAAATAAGAGATTCATAGTAGTTTAGGCAGCATCTCTCAGAGGTATCTGGGCTAATGAGCAGTAAATACCATTCAGCATATGTCTCTAAAAACTATGTACAGGGAAATCCCTACAAGTTGGCTTTCTCTGCATAGTTGCTTTTCTTCTTTGCAACAAATATCCAACACATCAGGTTCTCTCATGCCTCAAAACCAACTGTCACCCTCAAATCCTCTGACATCTGTCACTGGGCCCCACTCAGAAGACGTGGTAGATTAATATGAGTTATGACTGTGTAATCACCAGCACTTGTAGTCATAACTGAGCTCTCTGGAAATATCTGCACTGCCACATGGGTTTGGTGTTCCCAGCCATATCCTGCAGAATGCATAGAAAATGGCCCAGATAGTCCACTCACCTTGCTCATTTATTACTCCACTGTCTAGCTCATTGCCATTGTTTTATTAAAAAAAAAATCTTCCTTAAACATGAATCTTGTCTTCAGGGAGATCCTCTGTCATAGTCTGCTTCCACTGCTAACGTGAAGTGTCACAGACCAAGAGGCTTAAACAACAGATACTTATTTCTCACTGTTGGAGGTTGAGAAGTCCAAGATCAAGGTGCCTGCTTATTTAGTTCCAGTGAGGGCCTGCTTTCTGGTCTGTACAGTCATCTATGTCCTCATAGGATGGAGACAGAGCATCTTATTATGAAGACACTAATCCCACCATGTGGGCCATACCATTGTGACCTCATCTAAGCTTACTTGCCTGTTAGAGGCCTCATCTCCAACTCAATCACATTAGAGATTAGGGTTCTCCATATGTATGAAGGGCATGGCACAGACAGCCCATGACACTCTCCTCTCCAGAAGGCATCTTTTCATTGAAAAATACTAGTCTTTCATAATGCAACCAAACTTTGTCACACTAAAGAATTTTATTTGCACTTGGAACTGAAAGCTTTATGTTTTAGGGAAGTTGATTTGTTTGTTGTACTGATTTACAGACCACAACCTTAAAATCATGCTGTGTTTTAGTTCAATAAAAAAAAAGCAGTGTGTGACTTAATTGCCATTACTAATCATAGAAAAATGCCATTGTGGAACTGTGTGGGCAACTACAGAGGAAACAACGGAAAGATGGAGAGCGGGAGTAGTTGGGAGCCATGTAGGTTGTTTTCTGTTAAGTCAGTTGACTTCTCCTTGTTAAGTTGTTAATATGATATGGAAGTCAGGAGCCACATCTGGATTTCAATTCCTTGTTCCCCTACTTAGTAGCAGCATGACCTTGGGCTAGTGAAGCCCCAGTCTCGTGGAAGTAAAAATATTTCCTACTTCATGGTACTCAATGAAGAATTATGTCTGGAACATAATTGAGATCATGCCTGGAACATGGTAAGTTCTTACTAAATGTTAGCTATTATTATTATTTATTAATGGCATAATGGTAAAAGTACTGCACTTTTAAGAGTCCTTCCCTCAGTTACTTACTTAAATAACGATAATGATAGCAACAGTAGCAAACTTTCATATCACATGCATTAATCTACAACAATCCTATGAGGTAGATCTCATTTTTATCATCATCATCATCATCATCAATCATCATCATCATGTCTTGCAGTTGAGAAAACTGGATCACAAGAGAGATGAATTAACTTGCCCAGAGTCACTCCGCTAATAACCAGCAATTCCAGGAGTTGAACCACCCAGGCAATCTGGCTCCAGAGCCAATATGCTGAACCACCATGATAGACCTTTTTGGTCTAGCTGGTTATTGCCTTGGCTGGATGCAACAGGTAGACCTGCTAATCTACCGGGATCCTGTGATCCTTGGCACTATCCTGGCTTTTAAAACTTGTGTTATGTTCCACCCCAGACAATTAAAAACACAGTACTAAGTCTCTGGCTGTGGAAACTTTCAAATATTTCAGTTACTGCTGACAAATGGTACAAAATTAAAGAGCAAAAGGGCACATGGAATAAGGTCTCTTCTAACCCCATCATCAAGCCATCTAGTTCTCTTGCCAAGAGATCACTAATTGATAGCTAATTAATTGATTTTTGAGCAACTGTTAACTCAAACATTACCTCTTCACTATCCAGGAAAAAATTGTGCCATGCCCCACTGCCCCTATCTGCTCTGACTTCCTGGCTGAAGGAAGTATACTCCATGTGTGAAAGAACCATAGCTGGCTAATTCAAGGTATTTACCATACCTTCCCTGATCTTTACTTGATCCCTACCCTAACCCCATTCCAGTCAAATTGTCACCATTTTCCATTAAATTGAAGCTATTCTTAGAAAGTTGGGGCCACCTTTATATGGTATAACTTCTTTTCTACCCTATCATCCCAGGTTTATCACCAATTAACATACCACACAGTTGTGAAATAGAAGGTTGATATGCTTAGACTCCCAATAAAAACTCATCCTGCAAAATATTCCTAAATGTAGAATTATCTTTTTCTAAATATTTTAGTACTAAATCTGGAAGCTCTGTATGTACAGGAAGTGAGAGATGTTATGAAAAGGTATTGATCCCATTTGCAAAAAGCAAAAATAAAAAGTCCCCACCCACAATTGTACTTATAATCTCAGCTACTCAGGAGACTGAGGAAGGAGGATCATGAGTTCCAGTCCATCCTGCACATCTTTTTTGTTTTTGGTGTTAAGAAGATGTTTATTCTGGCTCATGTTTTTAGTCCATAGTTGGCTGGCTCCCAAGCAGGAAAGGCATGGTGGAAGGCCCTAGGCAGAAGAGAGCAGCTCATGGCATGGCCACCGGGAGAAGAGAGAAGGAAGGAGCTGGCAAGGGAGATGAGCCCTGCCAGGTCATGATCTAGTGACTTCCACTGAGTTCCCACCACCTAACAGCGAGTCAGCTATAAGCCCCCATAATCCAATCACCTTGCAAAAGCCCTGCCTATGAGCACATGAGGCTCTGGGGGGATATCTAGATATAAAATAATACTCCACCCCAGGCCCCAAAAGACTCCCTTTATGCAAAATCCATTTAGTCTGTCTCTAAAAGTTTCTAAAGTCCTAACAGTTTTGGCACTGCTGAAGAGTCTAAGTCCAAAGTCTCCTCTGAGACTTAAGGCAAACTCTGATTAACTGTAACCCCTTTAAAAAAAGCAGAAAAAGTTAAACACTGCTGACATACAAGGGCACAGGATAAACATTCTCATTTCAAAAGGGAGAAACACTGGGACAGAAACCAATGGGAACAAAGCAAGACTGAAATCCAGAAGGGCAAATGTTAAATCCTGTAGCTCCATGTCCAGCCCCAGGAGCAAGCTGCGGCCGTGAGATATGAGCTCCAAAGGGCTTGAGTGGTCCTGCCCCCACAGCATTGCTGGTGCTTGCAGCCATCACAGATTCTCTCCTGGGCTGGCTTTACTCATTCCTTGTGGCTTCCCTAAGATGTTGCATGTTTCTGGCTTTTCCAGTGCTCTGGGGTCTCTACTATACTTTGCCTTCATTTTCATGACTTCAATGGTGCTCTCTCAAAGGTGCACTGCTCCCTTGGGGGGCACACAGCCTGGCTTCCTAGGTCTTCATCTGAAATCTGAGTGGAAACCTCCCAGATTCCACAGTACTTGCATTCTTATGTGCCTGTTCGGATTCCTAGCTAGTGGTTCTGGAAGAGACTGAGAGAAAATCCTGATCCCAGATAGGAGAGTTTTGACTATAAAGTACTTCTAACATGGACAAAAACTTTGGGAAATGAGTGAGGATTACAGTTCACTTCTCAAGAGGCAGTTTTTTGATTTTGTTTTTGTTTTCCTGTCTTGCTTGTTCCAGGAGTTGTTGCCTCATTATGGTGAGGACCGAGCAAAGCAATGTTCTCCCAAACTCCTGGGTGGTTTCATACCAACGTAGACTGTCACAGAACTGGGGCACATTGCAGTAACACAGGCACTTTCTGTAGTTCTCTTTGTATCCAGAAATATCATCACTGAGAGATTGCAGTCTTCTTTGAGATGGTGCCTCCAGATGCCAATAGTTGATATGGTTTAAGAATGTTTCTGCCATATCAATTATTGCTTGCCTTTCTTTTGATGGCAAGTGACTAGATTTGTATTGTACAAAGTTATTCACACCCTGTTCTATGCTAAATTTTCCAAATGGAGGCTTCTTCTCCAAAGAGCCTTCAACCACAGGTTTTCCTCTTTGTAAAATAGATTTTCTCAAGAGCTTAAATAGATAGAGATAAGCTTGTTTGGTATCTGTACCTTCTTCCTTATGCACACAGGTAAAGAGATATTCCACATCCAGCACTATTCCCAGGGGTCTGTTCATCCCTTCCTCTGACACATTCTCCAGGTGGGAAACGTGAGCAGTAAGAGCGTGGCAACAACTCCAACAGTACTCGGTGAGGCTGACAATGATCTGCTGCAGATCAGCTCTGGGGGACGTGCGAGAAGGGTTGGGATTTTTCCAGCCATTACATTTACAGGACTCCTCAGCCTTGCACAGACTGCACATCTTAATGAAACCTGTCTTAAAATAAAATAAAAACAATTTTAAAGTGCTCAGTGCTCCCAGGGTTCAAGCCTCAGTTCCTCAAGAAAACAAAGAAACTCAACAATAAAAACAATAAAAAACTAAACACACACATTAATTAGCACATTAAGCTATAAAAGTGAATAAATTACACAACAAATATTTTAACTCTTTACAAGGACCTAAATTTTATACCTATACATACATACATACTATGTACACATGTGCATGTATGTGTATAGAGAGATCTTTTTCTCCCTTTTTATTGCGATAAATATGCATGAACATAAACTTCACCACTTTAAGTATTTTAAGTATACAATCCAGTGACATTAAATACATTCACAGTGTGCAACAGTCACCACTATCTATTTCCACGCATTTTTCATCAACCCAAATAGAAACTCTGTATGGTGGTGCATGGCTGTAATCCCACCACTTGGGAGGCTGAGGCAGGAAGATTGATGTCAGTGGGAGGCCAGCCTGGGCCACAGAGTGAGTTCAAGGCCACCCTGAACTACAAAGCGAGACCCTGTCTCAAAAAACAGAGAGAGAAAGAGAGAGAGAGGGAGATCAAATAGAAATTCTGTACTCATAAATAATGTCTCCCACTTATTTTCAGTACCGGGGATCAAACTTGGGACCTTGTGCTCTCAAGGCAGGCTGTGGTACCACTGAGTTAAATCCCTGCCTCCCATTCTTAATAACCTCTATTTTAATTTCTGTTTCTATGAATTTTCCTAATCTAAAGGCCCCATGTAAGTAGCATCATACAGTATGTGCTCTTTGGGGTCTGGCTTATTTCACTTAGCGTGCTTTCAATGTTTGTTTATATTGTGGCATGTATCAAAATTCATTCCTCTTTGGGCCGGGGATTTAGCACAGTGGTTCCACCTCTTGCCTCACAAACACAAGGACCTGAATTCGATCCCTGGTACAAAAAAAAAAAAAAAAATCATTCCTCTTAAAGGCTACATAATACCCTATTTTATGTGTGTACCACATTTTAAAAATCCACTCATCTGTTGATAACAATTTTAGTTGTTTCCACTTTTCAGCTGTTTTGAATGATGCTGCCATGAACATGGGTTTACAAGTATCAGTCCTAATTTCTGTGTTCAATTGTTTTGGGTGTATATCCACGTGTAGGATTGCTGGGTCCTATGGTAATTCTATATGTCACTTTTTTTAAGGCACTCCATGTCTTGGTTTATTGTTGTGGGGCAGAATGCCCAACACAGAATAAAACTGGAAATATTTGGCTGTGCAAAGAGGAGCTAGTGCTTAAGTACAAATGGGAGATGCAATTCTTTTGATTTAAATAAATACACGCTACAAGTATCTGGACTCCGAGCCTGCATCAGCACAGTTGTCTCATCTTTGGACCCACAGTGACATTATGATTCCTCTCTGGTTATCAATCCATGGAATCAGGTATGAATGGTTGAATATGATCACATAAGCCCCTTTTCTAGAGCCTTCCCTAGCCCTCTATAGACATGATCTGTCCAGGACTAAAGCAACTGGAATTTCTCAAAAGTCAGTGGTCCATAACAGTTAAGTATGTTACATGAGTCTCTTGTTTCCCAATATATATAATTTTGAGAGTCTTCATACTATTTTCTATGGCAGCAGCACCATTTTACATTTACACTATCAATGTACCAGGATCCAAATTCTCCACACCTTCATCAATCTTTGTTATTATTTTAAAATAATACCTATCTTAGTGGGTGTGAGTTTCTTATATTTTTTTAGAAAATACAATCATCAATTTTATGAATGACTGACCTTAGGGTAACCAACTATTTGGAAAAGCAACATCACAGTGTGTGAAAGAATATCTTAAGTTTTAGGCTTTCTATTAGCTAGTTTCTATTATTGCTTTCCCCTTGTGTATACTTTCTTTGAAAGTCTTATGATTTCTGATTGAAAACTGGACATCTAAATTATATATAGTTGTCTTTCATGGTTGCAACAGGGATGCCCCTCCCAATAAATAATTTTTTAAAAAGTCCAATGAATTTTCATGGATATTTGAGAGCTTTATATAAAATGGCACAGTTTTTTGATACAAGCTACATACATTCACTTAGTATTAGTATTTTGTATTAGTACTTAGTATTAGTATTAGTTTCTTAGTGCCAAGGGTTGAACCCAGGGCCTGTACATGTAAATCAGGTGCTCTACCACTGAACTACATCCCAATCTTCTCATATTCTTTAAATCGTTTCTAGATCACTTATAAAACCTAATACAATGTAATGCTAATGTAAATAGAGGTTAAATGCAATTTTTGTGGGGGATATTTTTGATCTGCAGTTGGTTGAATCCATGATTGCAGAACTCAGGACATAGAAGACTGACTGTGATACTAGCAACTGTAGAAATTAAGTTCTTTCTCCCTGGGATTTGTTGTTAGTTTTGTTCTCTGAAATAGACTGTAGAATCTGTATTTTTTTGTCATGTCTGGCCACTGAAATCTCTGCTCAGTTAGCTTAGTGGTCAGGTGATGATTAGAGATCTCCTTAAATACCAGAAACCTGTCTCTTGGTCTTTGCAGAAGGGCTCTCTGGGTGGCAGCTGGGACACACCTTTGATGCTTAGCTGGGTAGCTGACAACACTGCCTCAGCCTTCAGTGTCCACTTCCACACAGTTTCAAGGTCAGGTTGCACAAAAATGAAGCTTTGGGGCCTCCTCAGTTCTTTCCTGAGGATGTCAGAGCTCTGGCTCATGTACAGCTCTGTGTACACGTGTGGCCTACTAGTTTCTCAGGAATATGTTGGAGCTGTTCGAAGTCCCCATGGACATTTCATTCACCAGCTTTTTCTTTTAGGATTTTGGTTAACCTATTGTTTGAAAACTGTTATCCACTACCTCAAGGTGGCCTTGAAATTAAACCATTGCCTCCAAATATTTTCAATAAATTCCCTCAGAGAAAAGGGTTTTCATATTCTTTTTCTTTCTTTCTTTCTTTCTTTCTTTCTTTCTTTCTTTCTTTCTTTCTTTCTTTCTTTCTTTCTTTCTTTCTTCCTTTCTTTCTTTCTTTTTTAGGTTTTTTGAGACAGGGTCTCACTATGTAGTTGAGACTGACCTGGAACTCACTATGTAGCCCAGGCTAGTCTTGAACTCACAGCAATCCTCCTGCCTCAGCCTCCCAAGTGCTGGGATTACAGGTGTCCGCCCGGCTTGGGTTTTCATATTCTGAGTGACTTCCAAATCAAGTCAAATAAAGACGGCCTTCTGATTGGAATCTTACAGGGAACTACCAGACAGGATGAATTCTGACAGCTCCCTAGGAATGAGATTTGAAGGGGCTCCTTCAGTAAACTGTCATCACTGTGACTATGGGCTGTGGATTTTCAAGGCTACTGGAGCTGGGAGAGGTGAGTGATGGGAATAGAGCATGTTAAACTCTGTTCATAAAGAGGTTCAGCCATTTTGGGGTAATAATTGTTGATTGCTAGACACCTCAGGTTAATTTACAGAATTCTGCAAAAGCTAGTTCTGACTTTTTTTTTTGCCAATTTTTTTGTTGCTTTTATGGAGGAGAGACTTTCTGGAGATCCTTATTCTTTTTTGTTTTGGTTTGGTTTTTTGGTACCAGGGATTTGGAGATCCTTATTCTATCATTTTTACTAACATTGCTGTAATGAAGCTCTAAAGGAGAAGGAGTGAGTGGTTTAATAAAGCAGAGCTGGCATTATTCACTGCCAAAGGTGGTGTTGTTTCAAGTGATGACAGGGTTTAGGGTTAGGCCATAGGAATGGACAGCAAGGCTGGAGATCAAGTGGCCATCACTGCTATGGGGGAGAAGGGCAAGCAATGGAATACAAGGCCAGGTCAATGACAGGGAATCCAAACGGATGCTGAAATCTTCCCAAATGGTGATTTACTCAGGAGGAGGAGACTGAACCAGGTGTCTAAGTCACTGAGTGTGAGTTACCCGAGATGGATGGATGATGACCAGTGTCAGTATTCAGCAATGAAAGATATTACCTCCATAGCTAGTATAAAACATAATAGATGGAGATATTTTGGAGACTGAAGATGACCAAGAAGTTTTAAAGATAATTTTGATAAGTGGAAATTATATCAAGATAAGAAAGGAGGGTAGCCTGGGCCCCGATCCACCGTGGGAAGGAGAGTTATGCCTGCTCCCGACCCAGCCGCCATTGCTCAAGCGCTGGGAAGGTAGCCATGAGGGTGCCCCTGAACCCCCATAAGTCCCCCACCCCCTGCACTCTCAGACCTCCTGACTGTGCCAGTCTTTGGACCCACTCTGCAGAAGCAGAGGTGGTCATCAAGGGTATTTTTCTGAGTTCCCAACTTTGAACATCTTTAAAGAAAGGGGGTGGGAAACCTGTTAATAGAACATTGTGGAGTTCAACCATTCAGAAGGTTGGGGAACTCAATCTGGGCCTTGCAGCCTGAGGTCAGTCAGCATCATGGGGTTCAGCCATCAGCTAATTGAGACCAGGGGACTTGCATCCTCGCTTGGTCTGAGCCATTAAATGGTAAATACACTATATTGAAATATTGTTCACTGCAGACATGTTCTGGACTGCTTCTTGATTTCAATTTAATTCAAATGATTTAAGGGTGATAGACTAGTGACTACCACAGGTGGTCAGTGTCCAAGTTGTGCTTGATCTTAATGTGTTGCAGACTGTATCCATTGGGATAAAGCATTGCGGTTGATTTGATGAGCTGTTTCTCTGATGTTATGAAGATGAGAATGTCTGTGGGTCATTAGACACAGAAGCTAGGGCACAAATATATCAGGAAGATT